GCATGTGCAATGACAATAAAGTTGAATTCTATTCTATTCTATTCTATTCTATTCTATTCTATTTTAATGGACACATTTAATAAATATTGAGGCCACCTTATTTATTAGAAAAATACTGTATGGCCTGGAAGACTTTAAAAACAAATATTCATGAAATACTTGGATCCAGCTAATGTCTGGGTTTTAGATCATAGTTTAGTACAGTTCAGATGCTAGTATCTCCACATTTATTGCTTTTGACAAAATTAACATAATAACCAAAAACCAGACTAAATTGACAAGCTTGTTTTGTGTCAGTCATTACTTTGTAAAAATACTGCTTTATTCAGCGTCCTTGTCTATATGGGTTAGAGAAGATGTTATGTTTAGGTGTTTCACGTTTTTTTCTTCTACATGCGTTAGGTCCATGTGTTGAGGTCATAGTTGAACACCTCTTCATTCTCTGACAGTATTCTGTTTCTTTGCAATGACCAGTGTTCTGTTGAATTTAATTTTGGGAATGTGCATTTTCCAGGCCACAGATGAAGGAGTTATCCAACAATCTATTGAGGAAACATGGGAATCTACATCATCAAGTCAAGAGATGCCAGTGACAGCCCTGAGGACATTGGGGTAGTCCTTGAAGGCCAGAGAGTCTAGTAGGATTTGGATAACTGTGCCCTAGCAGCTGCTATGCTATTTGGATTAATGTACACTTTGAACCTGACCTACCCACCGGAACTGAAGTATACCTTCGAGGTATTACAGAAACTGGTTATGGAGCTCGAAGGGAACAGCCTTTCAAAGAAGGTCCAGGTTCTCAAGAACAGACTGTACGAGTGAACAGTTATGATATGGAAACAATATGTTTACCTCTCTGAATATGTTCCATTGTTTCTTTTTTGCCAACACTGGTAAAATTACAGTATATAGTGAAACTGATTTTTCTCACAATTTTATAGGTTTTTACTGGTAGGAGCAACTTTCACTTTTAACTTAGGGGCCATCATCACCAGAGATGGGCAGTAACGCGTTACAAGTAACGCGTTACTGTAATCCGATTACTTTTTTCAAGTAACAAGTAAAGTAAGGGATTACTATTGCAAAAACTGTAATTAGATTACCGTTACTTTCCCGTAGGAACGCTGCGTTACTGCGTTACTAAAACCGTGATTTTTTTTG